ACGCGGCGACCAAGAACTCTTCCTCGACTACATGAAGGTTGCCATTAGGTACACCAACGTTCTTGGGCTGGTAGATGCAGCAAAGGAAGTGAGGAAGAAGGCGACTAGTAAGGAGAAGTAGCACATGGAGCAACGCTATGGAAACCCAGGTAAGGTGATCATGTCCATCGACATGCTCCTATGGGCAATGAAGGAGGCCGACCCCGGCGATGCTGGGCAGAAGCAGCAGTGGGCAGACCACCGCTATGTCGCTCCAGCTTTTCCTTGCACCCATCACCAGCCTTCAGGAGCTCAGAAATGACTTGCTCTGGCTTCTTCTTCTCTTCTTTAAGGAGGTCTCTCTCCACTTGTATCTCCTTCATGGCCTTCCTGGTGTTTTGAATGATATCAGCTTGACTCTGCAGGATGCACCTCTATTCTTTCATGAGCTTAAGCTTCTCCATTTGAACCTCAATCTTTGTCTGCTCCTCAAGCTGATGCTTCTCCTCCTTAAGTTCATTGATTGCCTAGCTTGTGTAATCCATGTCATGGGATTTCTGCCCATCCTGGTAATCAAACAACTTGGATACATCATCCACAAGCTGACTGTACTGATTGCCAAGAGAATCCAGCTCCTTTAGTTTTGCAACCTCTATCCTATAAGCATCTTTGTCGTGGACTCTACCAAGGTTCTCCTCATGATACATATCCCACAACTTGGTTAAACACATTTGCAGAATTACTGGCCAAGGGGCATCTACCCACTCCAGAACACCACAGCACACCATCCTGAAAATTCAGTGACATATTAATACTAACTAAATCCAGTCAAATTCAGTTACATAATTCATACATACATATCAATGTTTGTATCAATGCAGTAACAAACAAATTCAGTTAGACCAATTTTAGGTGCTTCCTAGATTCAGTTCCTATCAAAGATTTAGCTAACACATGAACACCACACCAGCTCTATACTTCAGTTTTCAGTTATCAGATATTGAAACAACAAGAATATCAATGTTGTTTGCACTATGTACCACCAAATAAATCTACACATGAACACAACTATTTTTTGCTCTTACCGTAGTAGCACATCCAATGAATCTCCTTCCAGTGTCAGTCCCTTCAAATGCCACAAACCTGCCTGGTCTCTGCCTGTGCAGGATGCGGTTATGATCAGATTCAACCACAAGCCCGCAGAAACTTGGATCTATCACCGTGTCAGGAGTTTGCAGCAGTACCAACCCCATATATATCAGCCACAACAGCTCACACATAAGAACTAACATGGAAGAAATCAAGAGAATCTTCAAGCAATAACCCTAACCCCTAGCATAGGAGAGAACAGAGTGAGCTGACTTACAAAATACTCCATCTGCATGTTGTTGTACTCGTCATCGTCGGATGACTCGTTGCTGTTGGGCCAGGAAGGCATGCTCGCGCTGCCGCGTCACAGTCGCCGAAGGTGAGAAAGAAGAGGAAATAGACGAAGAAGAGAGCGAGCTGGGGAGAGGAGTGAGTGAGTCGGTCGGCCGTTTTGACCTAGCCCTGGCTGGTTCCGACCGGGCCGGGCACTAACAGCCCCGAGTAGGGCACCGTTAGCCGTTAGGGCATGCGTCGGCCTGCCATGTGGGCCAACCATGTCAGGAAAGCGGTTAAACTGGCTAAAACGACGATCAACACGGCTTGGTAGTTTTTTGTCACAAAAATTGAAATTTTCAATAGTTATCAGTCATTTTTTTGAAAGTGGTAATTCTGTGGAACAGTAACCCCTAACGTGGTAGTTTTTTTTCAAACACTCCATGGTGGTAGGTCCATGCACCGACATATTAGTTTTTTTCTCATTTATCCCGTATGGATTGTTTGTTTTTGGTCAACTTAGCTATTTTGGGCTTATACATCAGAAATATTTTTTGAACAAACAATAAATAAACAAATGGTTGTTTCATGCCGGCATGCGGGTTTGGCTTTGTGGCCCGGCATGGCCTCACATATGTCGTGTCCCGTGCCAGGTCCATGACGTGCTAATGGTCGACGTGATCTATGTGGCTAGGTTTGATTGTGACAACGAGTGAGCAAACTTAGACCGGCACAAGCACGACACGACCCGCCTATAAATAGACCTAACACGCAGCTTGCCCGAAGGCCTAGGCTCAAGAAGCATCCTGGCAAGCGACTTAAAAAGGGCGGTTTGGCATGCCACGGCTACAGGCCGGCTTGTGTTAAGAAAAAACCATTCAACACCAAAATCACTAATTAAAGGCTATATGCTTTGCAAAGGTCACTCCCCGTCTTCTCCCACGTTGACAAATGACACACAACTAGGGAGTTTCCTTTTTCATAGATTCGTGTTTTCTCAAAATGTTTGATCTCTTGAACCGTGCGTCCAAGTTACAAATCGTTTTCACTTGGATTTCTCGCATCAAGATTTTTAAAAATACATTCATGTTAATAGATTTTGATGAAGATCTGTGTTAAAAGGTTTGTGTCGTGTCGGCCTTGAGGCCAACTTCAACGCGCCGATGCAAATGGACGCGGAATTTGTCTATTTTTTCTTTGTTTGGGTCGGCTGTAGAGGCCGCGGCCGCTTTTATCCGTGCCAATCTGCGCAATGCGCCCAACCGACTGGTCTATTTGGTATGTCTGGCTGGGTTTTTTTCAAACAAACATATTTTGATCATGAAAACATAGCTAGATTGCACATTTAAAGCTAGAATTCATGCCAGGATACAAAACAATCACATCTCCATCATAGTTTTTGCATCTACTGCAAAATAAAGATAGAATTCATGTCGGTAACAAAATAATCGTGTCTAGGTTGTAGTTCATGCATCTTGGCCAAACATGATCACGCATCTAGCTCGAGCATCTCCTTCTGCTTTGTCTCGAACCAAACCCTTCTTCTTGGGGTCTTGCACATGTCGGCCGCCATGATCTCCACTTTCTTCATGATTAGGGCAAGCTTTATCTCGTTTGCTCGTGACCGGGCATTGGTCTCACCAATCTTGAGCCTTCCTTGCCTCCTCCTTCTCTAGGCACTTCCTCTCTTCCCTCTTCTCAATTGCCATCTCCTTTGGGTCCGCTTTAAAGTTTATTGAAGGCAAGTGTCGAAGCACCTTGGAATTGGTCTTCCCTCTCGACCGCTTCTCACTTTCACTTGGCTCAACGACCAATGAAGTCCCTCACCTTTCTTTTAGGACGCATATGTCTCCTTAATCTTTTGGCACTCGCAAATCATGGTCCAGCAATGGGTAAATGTGAATGGCTTGCCTGAATGTTCGACCTTGAAGATTTCTAAAGCTTGAAACACCTACATATGGAGTTCAAACCAACAAGATACATTCATATGCACAGAAGGACGACATGGCATAAAGCTCATATGAACAAGGGAAGGAATTGTATACCATGTCTTTGATGTCAAGAACGCTCACGGTCCAGCCAGAGATATTCTCATGAGAGGCATAAAACTTGTTGCACTCCAATTGGATGAAAGCCCGCCTCTTTTGGAGTCACACGTCGGTCATGTCACTCTCAAATTTGTAGGACACAAACCTCCTACGTTCACGGAAGTATGTATGGACCCTCTTCCAAAATGTTGTTCCATTTTGCTCGGTGTCGGATTTGGGATCTTGTCCAATTGCCATCCAAGTTCGCAAATTAACTTGCCATCATCCTTTGTGTAGCTCCCGCCCTCACACTTTGTCGCCTCTTTTGTGCATTGGCTTGATAAGTAGCTCCTCTTAAACAATGTTCATCCTCGATGTCGACTCCTTCTTGGCCTTGGTGGTCCTGGGTGTCTTGGCAGCGGCTGTCATGGCTTTGAGTCTTGTCGGCATCATACTCTTGGCCACCCTCATAGATCATCTCTCTGATGAAATTGTTGTAGTACGTCGTGTTATCCGGCGTCGGTGTTGGCATACCATCGAATAGGAAGGAGGCGTCAGGAAAGTTGTCAATGGGGATCGCCCATGGGCGCACCCTTTGCGTCCCGGTGGATTGGCTGGCTATCGGTGTGGCGTTGAGATCAAGGGCAGGCACCACGGGGACGGTCGACATGAAGTCGTGCATTTTCGACGAGAGGTCCCGAGGTGACATGGAAAAGCAGGACACATCCGGGTCATGTCTAGGAAGCCACCCGTATGCCGGCGGCATTGTTGACAGGCGCGACGATTCCGAAAGCCTGGGCGGGCTTGCAACCGATGAGCCCGTGTTGGCGGCAGCGGTGCCGACGAGAAGGGTCGGCTCTTGGTACCCTGACAGGAGGACCTGTTGCGTGGCCTTGGCGATGAGGGCAACGCTCTCCGCAGCAGCGACCTGGGCCGAAGCGCCTACGGCGGCGGCTTCTTTTTTCTCCACGTCCTTGCTCTAGGCATCCCTTTCCTTCGAGGTGTGCACCTTCTTCGGATTCCTCGGGACCATGGCGTGGGCGGCCATGACCGGGAAGGGGGCGGTGGCGGGGTCGGGCATGTCGGCCATGGCAGGAGCGCGGAAAGGTTTGAGAGCGAATTAGGAGAGATGGTGATGGCATGCTAGTGCCACATACGGGCGGGCGAGGACAAGGAGAGGGCGTCGAGGGCATCCGCGCGGATGCAAACTCAGTCTAAATTTGGGCCAGAAATGAGTCCTGGCAAACAAAAAATCGGACAACCGTCAGCTTGCGTCGCCACGTGTTTCTTGTCGTCGACACGAATCCAAACAGACACAAGCGGATCAAATGGGTCGCCCTGTTGGAGTCAACCTAAGGCCTGGCTTTGAGGATGGGTCATGTTCTGTATGTAGATTCTAGGATTCAAAGGAGAAAAATGACCACAAAGCACAGAGACACAGCAAGGCTTGCTCTTTTTGTTTCTTGTATTTTCTGCATGGAATGCAATGACAAGCGCAGAAGGTAACGAAAAATAAATTAATGCGGTGCAATGCAATACGGCTCAACATCACGCTACAGCCGCCTGTCTGCGCTAAGCTAAGAGGCGATGATTGATATTTATATGACTAGAAAGGAAGAAGCAGCATGGCTGTCAGACACGAGTATAGAAGAATATGGCGCAAGCCCGGCAGTATGAGCAGTCCTGCGTCGCTGCCGCCACCGCGGCTCCGAGCTGGAGATGGTAGTGGGCTGGAGGCTGGGCCCCCTGCCCTCGTACTGCCGTGGCTTGCTGCGTACCGTCAGGAGACGTACTTGCAACCCCCGTAACCTGCAACACAGCAAGGGTGGCATCATCAGCTCCTCCGCTGCTACGTACACGCAGCCAGGTTCAGAAACGTCACAGACTGTTAGTATATGGGCTTACTGGGGTCGCTGGAGGTGACGACGCCGGTGCCCTTGAAGTCGCACGCCAAGTCGGTGTGGCCGTTGGCCTGGTAGTAGGCGTTCATCACGTACGAGGCATGAGACTGCAAGCTGTTGGGGCTGAAGCACGCGCCGCCGCTCTGTATGGGCTTGCAGTCTACGAAGCCGCAGGCATAGTTGATGTTGTTCTGCAGGTCCGTCCCGTTGGCGCCGTCCTTGGCGACGCACCACTTCCCGCCTCCCGACGGCGAGGGCTTGGGGCTCGGATTGGGCGATGGATTTGGCGAAGGGGTTGGAGCCACAGACTGCAATGCAAACAACACAAGACACCTGGTAAGTCAGGTAACAGCACAGGAGCTACGAATCTAAGCATCATAACTGCCAGGATAAATAAACAGCAAGTACAACTGACGGCCATACTTTAGATTCTCAACTGAGTTATACTAAATAATTCAGATTTAATTCAAAAATAATAATTCAGACTCTGAACTGAGTTATGCTAGTAATACTTTAGACAGCCGTACTGGAAGGCTGTGCAGGCTAGTGGTGCTTTGACAACGAAGCACATGTTCTCTGGGCTGGGCTGGCACCGTCCAAAGCAGGGCCAGTTCAAATTGGTTTTCTCCCTAAGATTGTTGACACACACTAGCCGGTAGGCCGAATCAGCATGCTAAAAAATACTAGTAATACAGATAGCCCCCTCTCCTTCACATGGTCTACTTTCGCTAAGCATCCGAAAAAAACAGCCAGCTAATGGCTGCTTCCGCTTCCTTCCTTTGATACGAGGGCCTAATCCACATGCACACCACAACATTAATGCAGCTGAACCAGAACAGATGCATGCGTAGGAGTATTGGATGCTATGGAAAGGAGATGACGCCAAATGAAGCAAGGCTCCATCTGTTATCTGAACCTAGCAGGCATACAGATGTATGCGCTATCCTGTCATTTACTAGTAGTACTAGACAATAGGCAGGCATCTCAGTAAACAACAGATAGCAAGTCTACTGTTTCAAAAAAAAAAAAGATAGCGAGTCCAAAGGTACGGCTTCTAGTTAAAACTTGAGACACAAGACCACCAGAATCTTAAACCCCATCTCCTTTGCTTTAAGGTAGCCTCCGTTAGAAAAGTTTCAAGGTTACATCTTTTCCTTTGAAGAAATGAAATTAACACATTAACGTGTTGATTCGAAATTTATAACATAGCCTTATTAAAAAAGAAAAAAGAACCCAGGAGTGTTGACAACCGGTTGATTTTTTTCCTCTTCTTTTTAAAACAGTACCAGTTGATTCAAGTCATTAAACCATTTATTCTGATATCCATTCCAATTCCAATGAGCATGTACTCACTCTGTAAACTAATATAAGATCTTGAGAGGGAATACTACGTACTGGTATTTTGTTAACTCGGAATTGTCCGGTGCAAGCTTACTGGTACATTTGCAGCAGCAGCAGCGAATAGCTAGCAAACATGTGCATATGGATCTAACTCAGAGTTTTGGCAGTGGTCCCACCCCACCCACGCGCGTCCAGAAATACTGCCAGACGTGTCCAAGAGTGCTATCAACACACGCCTGCTGTCATACTGGATCCGTCAAGAAAGGCAGCCGTTTGGGCAAGCAGATCATGCAGGGGATAGGAGCAAAAGTCGGAAACGCAAGCAAGCAGCTATAGCCGTTTCCAGAAGAAGCTGGTCCATACACATACATCACCTTTGACAAATGCAGTTGCAGTGTGAATGGAGGACCACCTTAGCATTCAAGTCGGATCATATGCCGCCCATGGTTGACACGGCATGTTCATTGTTACTACTGGGTTGGGTTCATCCCTTAGTATTTTTTTTTCTCCCAAGTAAAATACTGAATCTGATACAATTGAAGCCACATTTCCCAAAGAAATAAAACATAAAATCACGATCGTAAGACAGGGCCAGACAAATTATACGATGCAATCAACCAATCATTATCATTATACTAGTAAGGAAAGGATTTTATGCCCCAGCAATTTGATAAGTTTAAGGACACAAGACAGGCAGGTAAAGGTTCATATTAAGGATCATCAGGGGAGAAAAGCGCAGTACGTACCGCGCCGTCCCGGAGAAGTCCGAGGTCGTAGACGGGCGTGAAGTCCGGGTTGAAGAGGCCAAAGTGCCTTTCGGCGATTGGCCCTGGTTTCTGGTTCTCGTCGAAGAGGGAGAAGAGGTAGGTCTCGAATGTCCTGTTGGGCATCAGCGGCGTGCCCTTGCCGCTGCTGCACACCCGAATCATGCCCTCGTTGAAGTCCCTCGCCTCCTGCACCCCGACGCCAATCTGCCCGGGCTCCGCCTGGGTGGGCCACCCGGCCTCCCCGACGGCGATGTCGACGTCTCCGTACCCGAGCTTCTTCATGGCGGTGTAGATTGCGTCCATCTGGGCGTCCAGCATGCTGGTGTAGTTGAGCTTCGTTGCCGGGTCGTAGATGCCGCTGTTGGGGCGGAAGAGCGCGTAGTTGAGCGTCTCCGGCCGGTAGCTGAAGTAGGGGTAAGGGTTCACCATGAAGGGCGACCCGGTGTCGCGGTGGAACTGCAGCATGGCCGGGAATAGCTTGGTGTTGTAGCCCGCCCGGAAGCTGGCGTTGGAGGGGATGCCGTCGGAGGGGGCGAGGATGCCGAGGTAATGCGGGGTGGTGACGCGGACGCCGGTGAGGCCCTCGGCCTTGAGGGCCTGCGCGAGGCGGCGCATGGCGGGGAGGAGGGAGAGGATGAGGTTGGTGTCGGTGGAGAGGAGGATCTCGTTGCCGGCGAGGAGGAGGGTGACGTTGGTGGCGGGGACGTAGGGGGAGAGGTTGGCGCGGATCCAGGACCGCGCGGCGTCGAGGCCGGTGGCCTTGTCGGCGAGGGCGGGGAGGGCGGAGTTGGGGAGGGAGACGGCGAGGGAGATGGGCGTGCCGGCGAAGGCGGAGATAAAGGCCGGGTTGGCGTCGAAGAGCTTGACGCGGTCGATGGTGGTCTTGGTGGCGAGGAAGGTGGCGACGGAGGTCGGGGAGGGGAGGTTGTCGGCGTTGGCGCCGTAGTTGACGCCGATGTGCAGCGAGGGGGTCGCCGACTCTGCCCCCGCCGCGCCGGCGGCGAGCAGCATGAGGAGGGGGAGGAGGAGCGGCATCGCGGGGGTGGAGTGTGGAGTCGATTGCGGGTTTGAATCTGAGTTGGCAACGGGGGCTTCCGTTCCGTTCAAATACTACTACTGGTTCCAGAGCGGAGTACTGGAGAGGAGAGGAACGGACAAAGGTCGCGTGGTGGGTGCCATTACCTGGCCATTACAGTATTCTTATTCCCTTGTGCTTTAAATGCATTTTTATTTCTGGCTTTGTTGCGGCTGCCATGTGTCACTGTCTTTTTCATACGTACATTTAGGTCATTCATTTTCATATATATTTTCCCACGAGTTCACTATCTTTCATTTATTTTAGAAATCTTTCATGGTATTTTTTTTTTGGGGCTGGTACACTACCTTTTTCCTTTGCTTTTGCACCATTTCTCAAAAGTGTTGAAATTAGTACTAGGAAACAGCAAGAAAGAGGGTAGTATACTAGTACTCTAGTAACCAAAGCATGCGTTTGGAATGAATAATCCAAGCCTTTTCTAAAGAATGGAAGAAAGTGAATATGAAAGGAGAAGATGCAAAACGCAAGTGGCCGCGTATTTCCGTGGGGATTTGCCTCTGCTCGAAGCTTTTGAATATTATTCGGCTGGTGCACGTATCGGTGTGCCGGAGAATGAGGGGGTGTTTGGTTCAGGGACTTTTTAGTCACAGAGACTAGAAAAAGTCCCTAAAAAGTCCCTAGAAGCCAAACGGGAGAGACTTTTTCTACAGGGACTAGAAAAAGTCCTAGGACTTCTAAACCAAACACCCCCTGAGGCTGGTCATAGTGGGGAGTAACTTAGAGTAGTAACATGCATACGTTACTACTCTATGTTACTATCCTTATAGTGGGAAGTGTTATATGTGTAGTAACATACACATGTTTATTTATTGTCTTGTAGACTCATTTTGTATTAAAAAGCGCTATGTGATGATAACATATTAGGTTACTTTATTTGTCTCTCTCTTTATTAACTACTTGTCACCTTAATATTTTTGCTTATGTGACATCTATGTTACTACTTATGTTACTTCCCACCATGATCAGCCTGAAGGAAGATAAAAAGGGAACCACGCCGAGTGGTTTCAGGAGACAAAGATGACAGCTCCTTCCTCTCGAAGAAAGCGAGGTGGACATGGGAAAATGGCACGCGCCGACTGGAAAATATCGATTATTTATTGCTTGGATAATCACCGATTTGGACGGTGGATGGGGCAGTTACCGTTGGCTGCCGCGTCGCCAACGGTGGGGAGGACGAGTAGTACGTGCGGGTTTGACCGGGTTGGATTGTGACGCTTCTCAATCTCACCAGCGTGGTCGGCCCGGCGCCAGCCGCAGATTCAGCGCACGTACACGGAGACGGAGATGGAGATCGTGTGGTCGGCAGGGAGAGACGCTCACGCACGAACCGCGTCGTCCCGTCCCTACCCTATCCACGCGTGCGCGTTGCTTGTGTCAGTGGCGCACGCCTTCTGGGAGCTACAACAGCTCAACGGAATCGGCCACCAACATTCCCCTCCCAGCTTTGCTTGCCACGGACTACTGGGGTTTCCGGCCAGCCCGTCCTTCCTTGCTTGCACACCCCCAACTACTTGCTTGATGCTAACAACTGAGATTCCAAAGCCTGCTCATGGCATTACCGCACACTATCCTGCACGAAAGGGAGCTAAGGACATCACTGACCCTCAACCCACCGCATCCGTCTGGACCAACCTCTCCGAACGTGTTTCATCATCCCACACAGTCCCGCATTTGTTCGAGAAACAGTTCAGATGTCACATTTCTCGCAAACCAGAAGCAAACAAGGGGCGTTCGACACCCCAGACCAACCCAATAACCTCTCTCGCACTTTCTTCCTTTCCCGTCCGAACCGGCTAGTGCCGCTCTAGCGCCAGTGTCATATTCATGACGGCCCAGAGCAGACGTGACCTTTCACTATAGCCAGCATTGAAGCGGCGCGTCGGTCGAGAGCGTCGTCCGCGTCGCATCCTGGTGCACGTGTCTTCTCTCCACATTCAAACATCATCCGTCCATCCACCTCCCTCCATTGAACATGTGCAGTTGCAAGGACCCTACTCCGGCGCCCGCATGCGACGCCATACATCTATTAGTCTGTCTGCCGACATTAAACACCTCGCTGCTTGGCCTGACATCCGCCCACTATTTTTACATGGTCAGAGCCGAACATGCACACCCCACTTTCGCTCCCCAATATCCTCTCTACACCACACCCCCATAGCCTCAAGCTCCAAAGCCTTGTGGGAGAGCCTGTCGGGCGAATAGAAGCAGGAGCTCTTCGGCATTGCATCGGCGTTGTGCAAGGGGCACGCGAACGACATAGAAGCGGGACAAAGGAAGGGTGAGTGTGTGTAGATTCACGGAGTTTGTGTAGAGGAACGTAGCATGCAATTTTAAAAAAAAATTCTACGATCACGCAAGATCTATCTAGGAGATGCATAGTAATGAGTGGAGGAGAAAGTGTCCACGTACCCTCGTAGACCAAAGCAGAAGCGTTAGTTAACGCGGTTGATGTAGTCGAACGTATTCACGATCCAACTGATCAAAGTACCGAACGTACGACACCTCCGTGTTCAGCACACGTTCAGCTCGATGACGTCCCTCGAACTCTTGATCCAGTAGAGGGTCGAGGGAGAGTTCCGTCAGCACGACGACATGGAGACAGTGTTGATGATGTGATCCGCGCAGGGCTTCGCCTAAGCACTACGACGCTATATGACCGGAGGCGTAAACTGTGGAGGAGGGCACCGCACACGGCAAAGAACAATTGATGTGCTTTTGGGGTGCCCCCTACCCACGTATATAAAGGAGTGTTAGGAAAACCGATCACCTATGGGGTCACAAGGATCCCTTCTACGTTCGACGAGGGGTTAGTTGCACGAAGAGCAGGTCGAGCCGTTAGCACACAGAGGATTTTTATCCGGTTCGGGCCGCAAGGATGCGTAATACCCTAGTCCTGCTTTGTCTGGTTATATGTGTGTTCTTGAGCTTTTGAACTAGCTACGGTGCGTGCTTTGTCCAAAAGTCTGAATCCTCTCTCTGTGCGCTTTGAGCCTCCTTTTATACACAAAGGGATTGCCATAGTGACACGCAGGAGGTGGCAAGTTACAGTGATACGAGCTTATCGCTCGATCACGTAGGACAAGCTCATTTAATGCGTTGCCTATGTGTCATTTCGCTTTATTGGGGACAGCAACAGAGCCATCTCATCCTTCGCCGCTCCTCCTCGCCTCGCCACGCATCCGGGCCGACGAGGCATGCAGCGCCACGCTGGCCAACCAGCTGCTGTGTTGGAGAAATGGTAAGCTTCCACGAAGATTTGCATGCCGCCACGCAGGCGCCTGCTTAGCTGGCATGCCTATCGTTGCGCTGGAGTGATGGTGAAGTGGCGAAACCTTGCCGAGCGTGGGCCTGGCCGCGGCCCAGCGGTCGTCCCCGGCAAGGATTGCCGGGGGTCTTTGTCTACCGATCCCACGTGGACTCGTGGGTTACCAATCTTTGTGAGGGGCCGCATGCTACCAGACATGTGCTCTCCAAATGTTGGTCTTAACGTTGTCGATGGTGTCAGAGCTCTCAACCCCAAGGGTGGTGGCCCCACTGGTCTCTTCGCAAGCTGCCCCGGCAAGGAGCTTGTCAGGGGGGGGGGCTTCACAGGTCGCCTCGGCAAGGCTTGTTGCCGGGCGTGGCCCTGCTCGCCTCTTGCTGCTTGTTGCCTTGAGTGTCTGTTTTGATATTCTTTGTTCCTGTCTTGCCTCCTGCCATCCTCCTCTGCTTCGCCAAGCCCTGCTGTAGGCGTGGCTGCAACCGTCCGTGCACAGGTAAGGGGTACAGAAGTACCCATACTTTTGTACACCGACAGGAGCCCCCGGGCCTGGGCCACACATAAGCGCAAGGCGTAGTTAGGTCAGGCCGAAAGCAGTGCGCAGGCGGGCGTGGCAGAGGTGAACCGCCACGATCTTTCTGTTAGTTGTGCTTCCCCACGACCTGCGTCGAGTGCGTGACGTGGGGGTCGTGCGTGGGATGGGCGTGGCACGCATGCGTCATCCCACAGTAAATGGTAAAGAGTTGGCCCGCACCTTCCCCATAAAAAGGAAAAATCACAGGGGCACTGCTCATTTACCTTCTCTGCTTCTCCCAATCTCAGAACTACTGTTCCCCTCTCCTTCCCTAAATCTGAACCAGAGCTCCGTGCCCCTGCTCGCCACCGTCGCGCCTCCATTGCCTCTCGACCCCCTGCTCCTCCTTAGCCGCTATGGCGCCCAAAGCTAGCAAGGGCAAGAGAGCGGCCAAGGCCATCGCGGGGAAGGAGGTTCCGGAGAGTGAGCTGGTGAAGATGCGGAAAGAGCATGCCCTCTTCCCTTCGGAGATTGACGTGCTCATGCTCAAGGACCAGTTCTTGTGCTTGTGGGGGAAGGAGACGACGGGGCATCCCGCCACGAAGGTCATCCCCGCCCCGTTCGCCAAGACCGGCCCGGATATTTATCCTTTCTTCGTCGATTACTTCTCCTGCGGCCTCTGCCCCCCTTTCTCAGATTTCTTCAATGATATCATGCACACCTACGGCTTTCATCTCCTGGACTTCACGCCGAACGCAATGGCATGCATGGCCCTTTTCGCCCATCTCTGCAAGGGCTTCGCCGGATTCTGCCCCAGCACAGCGCTCTTCCGCCACTATTTCTTCCCCCGGGTTCAGCAAGGGGATGCCATTACTGGCTCTGTTGCTTGGATCCCGAGGCCTCTGTGCAAGGGCGCATACCCGGAAGGCTTCTAGAAGGAGCGGTGGGATGAATGGCGAGGCCAGTGGTGCTGGATTGTAGAGAAGGAGCCACGACATTTCTGTGAGGTCCGTCGGAGTCCGCCAGTCCGCAGCGACGACTGGAGTGACTTCGACCCCAACGATGGGAAGTTCACGGTCGCCAACACCAGGATCCTCCGCCTCGTCTCTGCCGGCCTCACGCTGGAGATGGTTGGGCCGACTTCATCCGCCGCCGCATTGCTCCCT